GTGTCTGGAAAGTAAACCCTTAAACAAATTTTAGCTACTATTTTGTGAACAGTAATCCTTACAAAAGTCAGGCAAAGTTGGTATCTATGATTCTAATTGCACAAATAGGGAACAAGGTTTAGAAAAAAACTGATTTGGCCAAGATTAAATTTAAAACCCTGTCTTTGTCTCTAACTCTTTACTTCATCACATTTGTTCTCATAACAACTATTTTATAAAAATTATCTAGAGAAGTTAGAAAAGAACTATCTTTTAACTGGGGATATCATGCACCTAACAAGTAGATGTTCAATAAATAGAAACAACTATTGGAATGAGCCAGGGGATAATGGGGAGGGAAGGAGGAAGAGCTGGGGTTTGGAAAGGAACTTCGATATGTACTTACGAATATGTCGAAAGGAACTCTACTATTATGCATAACTGTAACACACTAATTAAACAAATTTTAAAAAGACAATTGATTGATTGAATGAATGAATGAATGCAAACCTGCCATTCTACCCAGGTTGGTCCTCTCTCTAATTGCCTGCTATGCCAGATTTGTTTTGTCTTTGTTTTTCTCATCCTATCACATCATTTGTGCAACTCTTATTTTCCCTCTAATTGTTGATTCAAATCCTACATATCCATCAAAGGCCTCTATAATATTTTACTTTAATGTTTCCCATAACTTCAAAAATGTTGCCAGAGATGTATACTATCTGAGTTATTATTTATTTAGCATTTTTCCTTAAATGGCGTACTTTTTAATTCTAGACTTTGTTTGAAAAGTAAATTGCCTAAGTGAAAAACCAGTTTCACTTGGCATAAAAGAGCTGTAACCATAAAAACCACTATAACATAAGCAAAATAAAATTCAAGCTAGATTTTGTTACTTGCCAAAAATTTCTGAGCCTGAGACTTGCTTATTCCTACTTAAAAAATAAATCAATATAAGCACATGCTACATATGTGCATAAAATTGAAATTCTGAAATCTTCTTATTGTAATAATCCAGTAAAGTAAAAGAACTGAATAGGAAATAACTTTTTAATTCAACGTTTCAATCACATCACTGTAGAGGATATCATACAGTGATATTCTTCTTGACTTTGGAAGACAGTATCTGACTGTCCACTCGGTCTCAATATTTCTTTTGTGAACTGCACCATTTATTGATGTCACTTATTTGAGGACTTAACCATAACTATTTTTATATGCTCTTTAGTTAGTTTATATCATTCCAGGTGGACAGATACTAGAGGGATCTTAGTGGATCTTAGCATAAGACTTGGTTACATGTCATGGTTTAACCAAATCAGAAACAATCTCATATGCAGGGTCTCAGTCAATGCCATAAAAAAAAAACTTGAATTGGTCATAATAAATTATTTTCTAGTCATAATAAATTATTTGAAGGAATTACATGTAGGAATAGCTGTATATATTCTTTATCTTGCATTTGTTAATGATAATGTCATGTTCCATGTGTAACTCTCATTTATTGGCTATAAATACAATAGCCTTTATGAGATAAGATGATTTAACTCAGTTATTTGCTAACTGCTATTAAAGCTTTGTAATTTAAAAGATGTTTGAGTAAATTCTAGTCTTGGATTAATATGATCAGCATTTCAGTGTTCTTATGCATTTCACAAGACTTCAGTTTCCATCTTAGAAAAATCAAACTTAAATACAATTTAAATGGTCAACCACCCTGGCTAATGTTTGGTCTTTAATAACCATCTAAGTTTGAGAATGGTTCACAGATGCACACTACAGTCATTCACTCCTTGACTTTTCTCATTTCCTCTACAGATCTAAGATTTGCCTTTTCTCAGGGCATATGTAATTAAAATAAAAATTGTAATTAAAAACTAGAAATAATTGCAAACATCTTTACTTTTAATTAATCTTCACAACTTAATCATATTTCATAGAATTCATCTCTACTAAACTTTTATAGTCACAAACTGAGTCCAAGTTTGAAAAAGTTGTATTCATTTGAAAATACTTTATCTGCTTCAAAATATCTCCCTTCTGTAGGGAGGGAAGGTAGTATATTTTCCATTCTTTATTAAATATTAGAGATTTGCAGAATTTTTTCCTCATAATAATACTTTATTGTATATAGATATACATACACACACATACACACACATGCACGTTTTAGGACACTCAATAGAATTGTTTTGAATTTATATGGAGTATAAGATTCAGCTGTCTTAAGACAGTTATATTACTTGTATATTTTATGTTCCTGTAAAATTATTATGCATTTTGAAGACCAAAAAATTCAAGTACATAATCAGAATTTATTTTATTTTATTTTAATCTTATGCAAGCTTAGAATTTTTCATTCTCAAACAGCTCTGTCAGGAAGAAAGGTTATGACCTGATATTAATAAGAAGAACAAAGGGTTTTGATTTTCTTTATATTCTAATCCTCCAGTAGCTAATAAATATTTTAGCTGTCTTTCAAATGACGCATTATGCCATATTCAAGATTATTTTAATTCGTTATCAAAGCTGGAATTAATTATATAAGCTTTTTATTTAGAACAATTTAATAGAAGGAAACCCATCTATTTTAGTGAAAGAAGATGAATTTGGAAGTAATAGGGCTGAATTAAAATCCTGGTTCTGCCTTTGAGGAAGTAATTTCATTTCAACTAACATTTTCAGATCTTTAAAATGGGAACAATAGCTGGTTTAGTTAGCTTTTTCCATGTTGTGACTAAAAGACCCATCCAGAACAACTTTAGAGGAGAAAAAGTTTGAGGGCTCACAGTCTCAGAGGTCTTAGTCCATAGAAGGCAAGCTCCATTCCTCGAGGCTTGAGGCGCAGTGGGACATCATGGCGGAAGAGTGAGGCAGAGGGAAGCACCTCACACAAGGATCAGAAAGAAGAAATAGAGAGACTCCACCCTCGGATACAAAATATGCACCCCGTAGCCACGCCTCCAATGAGCCTCTTCCTGCAGCCACAGCCCACCTGCCTCCAGTTACCACTCAATTAGTCCCATCAGGTTAAGGTTATAACCCAATCACATCTCCTCCAAACTTTCTTGCATTGTCTCACATGTGAGCTTTTGGGGGAGACCACATCTAAATCATAACAATAGCTCTCATAAGTATCAACAAATAATATATGGAAGTGATCATAAAAGTTGCTTTAAAATGTTAGCTCTCGTTACCCAACTGGAAATTCTAAATAAAGTGTCAATTTTACCTTAAAAGTTAAATTCGGGTAGGTAGAATTAGTCTTGTCCATTATTTTCTATCTCCTGGAGATCTTCTCTGCCACATCCTGGTGACAGGCACTGGAATCACTGCTTTTAGCAAGAAGAGAAATCTGTCCCCGTGAAGCCACATTCCAGCAGACAATAAAACAATTTTTTTTAAATAAAATAAATGTCACTGTAGTAATGAAAGTGCTGTTGAGCAAATGAGGCAGATTGATGGACTGATATGAAAAGGATTGGACACAATTTAGGGAAGGTGGTTGATTAGACTTCTCTGAAATTGTGAAAGGAGGAAAGAAGCTGGGGCAGTCTGAACAAACACCTAGGCACAGGGAAGGGACAGAGGAGAAACCTGGCGTGGGAAGAGTCTGGTGCCCTTGATCGACTACCACTAAGGCCCCAAATGGAGCAGTGTTAGAGGACTGAATGGTTGAAGAATTGAGGAACTAGTTAGGGCTCCTCACATCCTGTAAAGACTGCCACCATAGTAAGGAGAGGGACAGGTAATCATTGAAGTAGTCAAATTGTAACTTTTAAGTATTTTTCTAGGCAGTTCTGTGGGTACTGAAGAGAGACATAGGGGTACTGGATGAATGATAGTAAAGCAGGTGGTGAGACACTTCTGAATTTGGAATGTATTTTCAAGTTAGAGCTGATAGACATTTAAAAGCAAAAACATAAAAAACAAAAGGAGACTCAAGAATAACCACTAATATTTTGCCTTGTACAAGTGGAAGACACTGATCCAAGAAAGTGAGGGAAGGAGCGTATTTGAGTGTATACCAGTCAAGAGTTCTAGTTGCAGCATGTTGAAATTAAGGTGCTGATACAGATAGTCAAGTGATTCTACAAAAGAGGCAAGTAGATATATTTTCAAGTGTCAATGTTAGATACATAATGCCCTATTAGTAACTGTTGTATTCTGCTACCTTTCCATGTGTAACCGATGTGATTCTGCAATTTGAGGTAAAATTGGGAGTTCATAACCAACTTGAATCTAATGTATGAAATATGATATGTCAAGAGCTTTGTAATGTTTGAACAACCAATAAAAAAAAGTGTCATTGTTAGGCTTCTATTTGTTTCAAAATTATTTTCTGCATTTTCATGTGGCAAATCCTGTTCATGTTCCACATACTTAAAGTTGTAGAAGGGATCTTTGACTATAGTTTTCTTAAATTAAGTTCCTTCCAGAAAGTTGTCCCTGGACTATATTTACCACAAATGAATTCCCTAATTATCTATCTGAACCTCTTTCACCTTCTCCAGGTCATGAGACACAAAATGTCTTAGTAGGATTGCAACACATAGCAGCCCCATCCAAGAAGCCTTCCAAAGTGTTTGTCATTCTCTGTATTATTGCCAAGGTATCTGAAGTTGTACTAGATGTTCTAAAACAAGATTCAGTAAACTATAGCCCATACACCAAATCTAGCCCCGGCGGTGTGTTGCTAAATAAAGTCTTATTGGAGCATAGCATAGCCATAGCCATTCATTATCATGTGTGGCTGCATTCATGTTAAAAAGGCAGAGCTGAGTAGTTATAAGTGAACTTATGGTCCATGAAACCTAAAATATTTGACACTTAAAAAAAAATGTTGGTTGACCCCTGCTCTAAGGCTTCCTCTAATCATGAAGCTTCATGATTTTGTGATTTAAGAAAAATGGAATACAAATGAGAAAGATCTATGTCTATTTACCAGCTGAAATAATTGTAAAGCAGTAATGATATTGAGCATTCAATTTTTAGTGATTTTTTTTTTCTTTCCTTTAAAGCTGAGAATCAGAGTTCAATCAAAACATCAGAAATACCAGGTAAGTAAACACTCTTTTCTCTGAGTACATTGATATGCAAAATTTCCAAGAAAGAGACAAAGTAGATTAATCAGTTTGAGGGCACAGTGAAATGGTTGAGGGAGAAAACATTACACACAACAAAAATGTTTAGGAGAACTCGGGTTTAAAAGAACAGAACATGCAGACCAGATGAGCGTACAGGACATGCCTGAGTGCTCCTTTGCTGAGGTGGAGCCAGCCCCAACGAAAGAACAGTCTGTGGAATTGCCCTCTGTCGGGTCTCACTGTTCTTGGTTTGTTTCTGTGGCGAGTGCTCTTTCTCCCAGAATCAGAGCATCATCTCCATACTTGTAGACAAAGTCTTACTCCGGCATCCAAAACTGATTGGTGTAAATCACAGTTAGCAATCTAAAATGTTTGCGCTCCAAGAATGGCTCACGTCTTACCATCTCTTAGTTTTACCCTGAATACATTTTGCATGATTGAGTAACAGAAATTGAAAATGATATAGGGCAGATCACAATAGTAAGGGTGAGTCTTCCTGTTTTGAAATTTTAATTTTGGAGGGATTTTCCAACACCCTACCTGGTACTTAAACAAATGATAAATCAAAGGTCCTCAATCCTGGTCACCTTTGCTCTATGTAAAATAAGCCTAAAGGATTATGTGATTTTTTTAAAAATCAGGAAAAAAATTATAAGCAATTCTAATACTGTTTCCACAGAAAATGTCTTAAATTAGCTTTCCTTCCACCTCCCTTTTTCAAAAAAATTGAAACAAATTATTATGATTTTAACTTTTAATTTTTATCTACTTCTAGATAATATAACTCATAAATAAATGAGTCATTTGGATTATCAGCTCTCTTTTTTCCTCTCATTGCCATATTTTTATCTTATCCATTGTCAGGGCACTAAGGGAAACAAGGAAAGACAAAACAGAAAAGCAGAGCTTCCAGCAGAGAGGGCTGATACAATTCTGAGAACCTCTCCCCACTGCTCCTGGGTTAACTAAGGAGAGGTCAAAAGATGAAGGGGAATTGGGAGGTTGCCAGATTGTCAGTCTCTTTTAAGTAGGAACTGAAGCATCCTTCATTTTGTTTAAAAGAGTTTTATTTGACAGAATGTTAGCTCTAACTATAATTGGTTTTGAATGGAATAAAAATTTAGTTCATTTGAATTTTTTGAGCTATGTAAACTAGTTCTTCTAAAACATAAGAGACAAACCATCAATTTGAATAAGCAGATGAGAAAGAAAACAGACTGTTACAAGAAAAGTCATGGTCCTTTCTTTATGCTCAAAGTTCAGATAACATCTTGTGGCTAAATCTAATCCAGACTCATATTCCCTTAAAGGATGAATTAGTAAGTTTATTAAGAGGGAATATCCTATTCATACACTATACATGGGTTGGAAATTCTATTCATTTTTCAGATTAAACACTTCTTTTGACTTGTGTATTTGTCATAAAACACATTAAGATGCAAAATTTGTGAAATATTCATCCAAAAATTGACAAGTAGATTATTAAAAAATAATGTGTATTTTAAGTACAATTTTTTTCACCTCTCATTCGATTTACTTGTTTGTTTGTTTTTGTGGTGCTGGGGATTGAACCCAGGGCTTTGTGCAAGCACTCTACCAACTGAGCTATATCCCCAGCCCCTCTACTATTTTTTAATACAGATTTAACTTTCACATAGTACAATGCACAAATCTTATGAACTTCTGCAAACGTATACATCTGTGCAAGCAATGTTGAGAACAAGCTACAGGGCATATATAATAACCCAGAGGGCCTCTTCTACCCCCTTTAACTCCATTTTCTTCCCATCACCAGAGGTTACTACTATACTTGGTATTTTTATTTATTAATTTTTTTGATCACTACAATTTTGATCTCTAACCAATAAAAATTGTTTAACTTCCCTATGTCTTTTATTTTTAAATGAAATTTTAGGTTCATAGCAAAATTGACATAAGGTACAGATCTCCCATATGCCTCCTGTCCCCACTTCTGCACAGCCTTCCCATTTTATCACTATCCTGAACCAGAGTGGTACAATCATTTCAGTTGAATGAATCGCACAGTATTATCACAGTATTAGTTTATATTAGGAATCCCTACTGGTGTGTATTTTATGGGTTTAGAAAAATACATAAGGACACATATCCACTGTTAGAGTATCGTACAAAATATTGTCACTGTCCTAAAAGTCCTAGGTACTCTCATCATTCATCTCTCTCCCGTGACCCCTGGAAACTTCTCGTTTTCAGTGCCTCTTGTATAGTTCTTTCCAGAATATCATAAGGTTGAAATTATACGTAGACTTTTCAGATTGACTTCTTTAACTCAGTAATACACATTTACATTTCATTCATATCTTTTAGTGACTTGATAGCTCATTTCTTTTTCATGCTCATGTAATTTGATTTTGCTGCATTCTGAACTCTCCTAATAATTCCATATTTCTTTTATATGTGCTTTCAAGATCCTAATAAATAATCATTCTATATTAACATTGTCTTTAAAGACTAGGAATTTAAGATCATTCACTTTTAATATTTGAAGTATGCATTGTTCTTATCCCAATTTACCCTAAAAGTATTAAGTACAATTTGATAAAAATTATTTTAACTAGAAGTCAATATGGAATTGTAGACCCAAGAATTCCTAGTACTGATTCCCTTCTATAAATATGAGCTAATAGGTAGCTAATAGTTCTCAGATTTGATATTTTCTTTCATTTTAGCATCTAGCTTTAATTTTCTTAAAAATTACCTTTTAATCATTTACTTCATAGGTTATTGTTAAGATTATAAATATTGATGATTATTATATGTAAAGTCTTTTTGAGGGATTAGGAATAAATAAAATGTAATTACAAGCAACTATACATAGATATGATGTTTTAACATTATATAAATACAAACAAAAATATTGTAGTTATGTGGAAATAATCAATCAAGGTCTGCAGACATGTTCTTTTGTTCCATTCAATAGAATAAAGGTGCTCAAGAGGCTGAGGCAGGAGGAGCACAAGCTCAAAGCCAGCCTCAGCAAAAGTGAGGTACTAAGCAACTCAGTGAGACTCTATCTCTAAATTAAAAAAAAAAACAGGGCTGGAGATGTGGCTCAGTGGTCGAGTGCTGCTGAGTTCAATCTCCTGTACACCCCCCACTGCCAACAAAAAGTATAAGGGTTGTATGCAGTAGTAGCTATGTTTAATGATGCTTAACCTGAGAGATTTATGCTCATTCTCTAAAGCATATGGGAAAGTCAAACTTCAGCTTCACAGTGTAACCTATCTGCTAGTGTCTACAATTTAGGATGATACTCTGATAATTACACATAATGATGTATTCAATCAACCACTGTTAACCACTGCATTCAATAAATATTCATTCTGTTTCTATTACATGTAATACTAAGAATTATTAAAAAAAATACCTGAAGCTTGTCATTACTACATTACTCAGGGAGACTAAGTAATATTACAGATGACTATAATAACTCTAGTAGTCATGTAGCTGTAAAGTAATGTGTCCTAAGCAAGCTGCAGATTACCTTCTATGAGGTCAGAGGAGAGATTTTTTATTTTCATTTTGCTTATTTTATAGTGTCCTTTGAATGAGGAAAAGCACTTTAAGAAAGACACTGAAAAGATTCATTAAAAAAGTGACTTTTGTTGCCATATTATTCTACCTACTCTAAGTTCAGAGCTAATGAAGAGATGGAAAGACCCACTTAAAAGCAATGTAGGGTTACTTATTACCTAGAGATGGACAGACATTATATCCTCATTTACAATGTTAAGCAATGCTGGGATTCACTTTGTGTTAACCTTATTGTTTTCCCATAGACAAACAAAGCTGACAATTTGTCCTTGAGGTTTAGTATTAAAGTACACACCTATAATCCCAGCTACTGGAGAGGCTGAGGCAGGAGAACTGTATGTTCAAGGCCTGTCTGGCAACTTAGCAAGACCTTGTCTCAAAATGAAAATAAAAGAAACAGGGCTGGGAATGTAGCTGGGTGGAAGAGCAATTGCCTAGCATGTGCAAGTCCCTAGGTTTGATCCCCAATACTACAAAAAAAATTTAAAAATGTAAATAATAATAATAAATAAATGGTCCTTGAAAATGGACATTTTAATTAATGAGACCTCAACCCTACACAAAAATGCATCAGTATATCTCAGTGTATTGGGAAAAGAATAAAGCATGGGTCCTTTAGTTTTTGGAGAATACAAGTATATTAATTACTTTAATGTTCTCCAGATAAATGGATGTGTGTGTATAAAAGGAGATTTATTATAAGCAATGGCCTCACACAATTTCAGAAGCTGAGAAATCCCAATTATCTGCTGTCGACAAACTGGAGTCCCAGGCAAGCCACTGGTATACCCTTAGCCAAAATCCAAAGGTCTGAGAACCAGGAGTGTGATGGTGTAGTTTCAGTTCTAAAGTTGGTAGGCTCAAGAAACACAGGAGAGCTGAGTGTTTCAGTACAAGTCCTAAGGCAGGGGAAGATCGACATCCCCATCCAAGGCAGCCAGGCAAGAGGAGTCTCTTCTTGGTCTATTCAGGACTTTAGCTGGTTGGGCAAGACAAGGTCCACCACCTTAGGGAGAACAATCTGCTTTCCTCAGTCTCCAAATTCAAAGGTTAACCTCAGCCAAAAACACCTCACGGACACACTCAACATAAGGCCTGGTCCAGTACTGGACACCCTGTGGCCCAGTCATGTGGACCCACAAAAGTAACCACCATAGCATCCCCTAGTGACCAGTACACCTTGTGAAAGATCTTATTATAACTATCTTCTATGTTTTCCTTAGCTGTGTTGCAGAACCTCAGCTGCATTTTGGTCATTTTGGTTTTGTAGAAAAGCAAAAGCAAGAACTGATGTGACAAATTCCATCAAACCTGAGCACCAGCCCTTAGAAAGGAGGACACTGTGTCTTATCTGAGGATCTTCATTGTGCTCCATGCTTTATTTCTGTCTCTAGGAGGTC